ACTAACACTTTCAAATGCTAATTTTCTGTATTTATTGAGTCACTTTGGTAAATACTGGACAAATAAGGGCATTAGACACCACAACAAATGCAAAGAAGAGTTCATAACCCTGAAGCAAAGGGGATGAGACTTCGGTTCTGAACCAGAGATGACTAAGGTCAATGGGGATATTTTCCTTTTCCAACCTGTAAATCAGCCTGCATCAGAACTCTGGGATACAATTCCAGAATCAGGGCCGAACCCTCCTAAATGCTGGAAAAGCTTCAATCTGAATCTCAGTCTACACTTGGCAGCTGACCCACATGTCTATAGCAGTCCAGTCAAAACTCTGAGTCCATAGCCCCTGGATTTGAAATCTGCCATTTGAGTGTCTTTGTAGCTTGTAACTGTGCCATACAACAAGTAAGTGAATCCATGGGACTCTATAACATAAAATAATTATTTTAAAATTCTAGAATTGGCTTATTGGGTTGCACAAGAAGCAAGGGGTTTGATGATCTGTTTTATTGGTCTGCCAGTAGAGTTGGGAGAGATGTTGGACAAGACTTCAGGCACCAGGTGCTCTTCTTCAAGTTACCTGCAGGCAGAGAGCATGCTCCTTGTTGGGGAGGTGCTTGATTGGGATTCAGGGACTGTCTTCCATTCAGTCTTTGTAGATCCTCTCTAGAACAACTGCTGGTTGCTTGTAGGCATGACTAACAGTCTAACGCTACTACTAATTAATTGTATTCATGCCAGCTCTAGAGACCTGAGGAAATGGCCTCTAGCCTTCAAAAGACAATCACCAATTGCAGCTATATGCTCTGGTCTCCTTCTTGCTATAAAGCTGCCTCATCGAAGGAGGCTGCTTTATCTTTCTCCGCATATAAATAGCCTTCCTGTTGCCTGTAGAAAAGAAAGACAAGGGATCTTGTGGTAGGCAGTGCGTGGTGTCCTATTGCACATGCACAAGTTGGATACTCTCCAGAATACAGAGTACAGTAATAGGTGTTGATCTCACAGAACTGGAAAGTCCACCCCTGATTGTTCCCCAGAGGACAGACACCTCCCCTTCTTCAGAGCACATGACAATGAAGCTTAAAGGGAAAACCTCTAGGTTGCCCTGGATCTGCAGACCAGCCTCTTAAAACAACACAGAGAGGGGAAGGGGATGAGGAAGAAATCAGGGGCCTGTCTCATGTAATTCATTCCAGGCTCTTGTGTAGTCAATCCAGTTGCACACGGATTTTCCAATTAGTGTCTTTAATCAGTGGCCAGGGCTAGCAATGAAGTGCACGCACGATGATACGTCAGTACTTCTGCCTTCTAGTAGGGACTGCGAGGTTGTGACAGAGGTGGTTTTCATGAATATGCAGTCCACTGCCCATGGGGGGAAGTACAGAACTGGCAGAGGTTCTGAGGCTCAAAAATAACTCATCTCAAGATGCAAGTTGTCCTGCGTCCCTGCCTCTCTCCTCCGCAGATACTTCGAGGTGTGCTGAACAATGGTTTGGAACAGCACAAGAGCATTAACCATTCCAGATTTTATCCAGTCATGATAAGCTTCAAGACCATTGCAACTTAGCCTGGACCCCATTTCTGCATGTAGTTGAAAGGAACATGTCTCTGGTTATTGTGACCCCTGAAGAGAGGGCATGTCTCCATGGTGCAAGGTAGTACTGCAGAGATATCCCAGGCTGCTCCACACCTGTTAGTTCCAGAACAGAATGAACAGAGCCACATTATGGCTGAGGAGCAGGATTTATTAGCCTGCATTCAGCAACACGCCAATGCAGCCCTGTTCCAGAGCTAGTGTACTTAGAGCGGGAGGGATTGCAACATTACAACCTGTCCCAATTCATGCTTGTTGCTCACAACCTTGGCAACCAGAGGGTAGGCAGAGGAGAATGATACTCCTCACCTACTACAGAGTTGTAGAGTGGAACAAAGCTGAGTCATTTTCTGTTCTGTTTGTAAAGGTCTCTAGCTGTTGTTATGCTAAAGGATCCCACAGTGGCACAGCCCAGTTCCCGGTGCTTGAGGGTCTTTGGACCATACTGAACCTCATGGCTCATCCTTATGTCCAGCTATCAAGTTGGGAATACACTGTGCCCATGATTCCTTCACTGCTCTGCCACGTGGATGTCAGACTTGAGGAAGGGATAGCGTGCAGCTGTAGGGCTGGCAATGTGCCCTTTCAGTGAATGAAAAAGCAGAGTCCAAATACACAGTGATCCAGCACTGGAATGAATCATAGCTTTGCTAGCTCTGCTCTTACAGAGGAAAGTGAAAGCTGGGAGGAGTCAGTAGGAAGGGCTTGGCCTGCCTTAAGCACATTGCTATGTCAAACATTTAGCGCCAGGCTCAGCCTTCCAGAGCAACGAGCAAATATTTAACATGACCCTTTGCGGAGCCTTTCTGCGTCAACACCTTGTCAGCAGAGGATTTCCAGCCGCTGGCCTGCCACAAGGTTGTCCCCATCCATTCTAGTGAGCAGGACATTGGGAACCTTAGTTCTGTTAAAGATCAAAGCCATACTACACGATTAAGGATGGTGATATGCAGACACCCTCAGCCAATCAGTCTTCCCCAGTTAGATTAAACAGCCACATGGAAGTAAAATACAAAAAATAGATATTTTTAATATTCCTGATGGGAAAATTCTGTTTAAAAACTGCATCATAATGGACATAACTGACTATTGCAGTTTCCCCCTCTGTAAAATGAGAAAAATGATATTGGCTTCCTTCACAAGGTAGCCTGAGATCTAGAGACAACGAGTTCTATGTATGAGCTAACTGTTACTAATACAGTTTCACCAAAGGAGGCCAAGTGTTGGGAGACTGAATTTCCCCGAAGGCCCTAGACCAGGGTGGAGACATGTTAAGAGCAGCATTAAGGAAGCTTTTGATACCACTGCCGGCATTTCCTGCTGGTGAAAGAGAGACAACTTCAGTTGCTAGTACTCTTACCCACTAAGAAAAAGTTTTGTAGGCAGGCTGTGAAATACCTGCATAATTTCTATTAAACGTACCTGGTACTCTTGATGCTGTTTTGAGTTCAATAAAATCTCAGCCCCCATGTACCAAGCCAATCACATAAAATGGATGAACAGGACTTGGCTACTCTTGACTTTACAGCTGAAGAAACCAGGTTCTGACACTGTCCTGCTCCAGTTGAGTCAGGCTCAGCAGCATCCTACATGTGCAAAGCCACTTGGAAAGTAAATAGAACACTTACTCTCATCCTGGCAATTTTCCAGCCTTGCATTTCCACCTCTCAGGCTGACAGTAAATGTTTCACTTGCCCCAGTGAGCTAATCCACATGCCAGCAAGAACCTCCCAAGCAGCATTTCTGGGAGACCCTTGACATTACCCAGAAAAGCTTGGCAAGGCAGAAGCTGATAAGAAGCAAGTGCTTCTAAGGAGGCTAGAGGAGGAAAGGGGTGCAAAAGGGGATCCAACCAGGCTGATCCGTAACATGCATTTCACCAGTAGAAAAGTGGTCTTTTGGGGTGATTAAAGCCCAGCTGCTGGTTGGGTCAAAGTACCAAGCCACAACAAGGACCAGTTTTCAATGACCTGCTCTTGTTTTCCCACCATCATCTCTTGCATGCCTATAGAGTCTTCCCCTTGAAAGCAAAGGCTCTTAGGTCGTTTGGGGTATGCATTGTGGCTTACCCAGATCCCTGGTACCACCATATGACCAATTGCCTCTTTTTCATGTTGTCACATTCCTTGCCACTGCTGGCATGTCTGGACTAGAAGAATTTTTACAGCAGAGAGCATGCCTGTGTTGTAGCGTAGCTGCTCAGCAGCATTTTTGAGAGCTGGGAGTCCTAGTGCACAGGTCAGCCAAGAGTGACTATGCTCCATGTGCCGTCTGTCTAGAGATTATGACCATGATTAGTGGGGCTGTGTCCTCCATAATCCACATGACATGGATTAACTTCACAAATAGGAACAGTTACTAGAACTCTGCAAGGGAAAATGATGGGTAGGTCCCTGGCTCAGACCACTTCACCAGGCATGTTAGGTAAGAACTCCCAACAGACAACCAAGTTGCAGATAGAGGCCGGATTGTCTGTCAGCGGTGTCTGAGGGACATCATTTCCCTGAACTAAGGGTGAGAGGCATCCCCACACTTTGTATATAGGCCAGCTGATCTACCAGGGGAGGAGGGCCAAAACCCAGAGCAACTTACTGGGTAACCCACCCACTATATGGTGTAAACTAAGGTGCCAATAATCCTCCATTATCTTCCATGATTCCTCCATGGCCTCACACACTTCATCAGGAAAATAAGATCAACCTGATATTAGTAAGCCCAGCACTACCCTTGAAGAATGCTACAGCCACATAAGCACAGGCAGGCTTTGCAGCACAGCTGCTCTCTCAGGAGCAGATGTTGCCTAAGCCTGGCACTGAATGTGGGTGTGTCCAAGTTGAGTTTTGTTTTTTAAGCTAGTGGCACTTACGTTAGCTCCCATTGCTAGTCCTCCCACTAGATTTGTAATTTTCTATCCCTATTAAAAGCATCTTAGTAGGAACTCCACTTCAGAGACATGCAAGTTAACAGTTAAGGTGCTTGTTTTGTTTGGAGAAAGTAGACTACTGACACTTAAACTGCTACTTCCCTGTGCTCCAGCTGATGTTAGTGCAAATACTAGCAACTACCTTGTTTAGGCTAGAAATAGAGCTCTGTACAAATCAAAGATTCAGTTAAGAAGAAAAAACAAACAAACAAACAAAAAAAAGTATATGCTGGGACTGTCAAAACTGACAGTTGAGATTGTGAAGGGGACAATCCCTTTCCCCCAGTTTAAGAACAGGGTTTGCTACAGTCCCATTTCTGATCCCTGAATTACTTACTAGAGAAGTATTAAAATGAGTGTGTGTTACATATTCATATGCACCCAGACTGTATTCCCCCTGCCACCATGTGCAACTGAATGTTTCAGCTCCTTCCCCCACAACCCTCCTACTAGTAGCTGCAAAAAAGCATACAAAACACAAAATAATTTGTTTCAGATGTTTTTTCTTTTTTAATTTCTTTAAACTTGTTAAACAGGAGTGACTGAAATAGAAACCACATTTGAGTCCCATCAGGGGAATGACTTGATACAAGAGCCAAGGTCAGGCAATTGACCCTCCCCTTACCCTTTGCCAACCAGTTTAGCCACCAGCTGTAGCTGATAACTAGACAGTTTTGATACAGTCCATGAATGGTCATAGTAAGTTACATAATACAACATGCCAGTTCACAATGGGAAATAACTTAAGTGAATTTTTTGATTTCATCATACAAGACTAAGACAAAAGCACCACCCATTCCTCTGAGGACATTGGACCATGCACCTTTGAAGAATGCCTTTCCACCTTCGTCACGAGCAATCTTTCGCCAGCAGTCAATTGTACCAGAGTACATGATGTCAGCTGTGGAAGATAGAGGTGGTTAGTGTATCAAGCACAAAGGGACAATGGCTTAAGGCTCCCAGTTTTGCCACTCCAAGGAGAAAGTCTTAACATGTGTGCCCTTTAGGAAAGAAAGGTCTTTGGCTACAGTTGTAAACACTGATGGGAATAGACAAGAGATCAACTGTATTTAACATACATTTCAGAGTCTGTATTTTAACAGAGACTTTCATTTACAGGGTCCCTCCAAAGTTATGTTGCTGCTACAGCATCCTGATGGGTTATGCCATGTGCACCATTCTGTTCCGTTTCAGGTTGGTTTTTTTTTTAAATTTAAAACAGCAGTGTCAACAGCAGTAACAGTGTTGTCTATGGAGAAGAGCTCTTAAGTTCCAATCCTGGCTCAGCCATTTACTTGCAGTGTTACCTCTGACAGCAACAGGCAACACTTGCCCATCAATTGTTACATCAATGAATGAGTACCAGTCTTCAGCACACTACATCATACTCCCATGAAGTATCTAAAGGTGTAGCCAAGTGGTAGTTGCATTAAGGCAACAAGGCATTAAAGAGGAGAGAGTCTCTCCGACAACCCATTCCAATGTTTAGATACAAGATCCTACAACTGAAATAGCCCACCACCCCTTCCAGAACCTGGCATTTAAAGACATGCTTGCCTCCAGATGTGCATTACTTTCCACCCAATTCTAGCAAGTCTCCGTGGAGAGTTCTAGCCATCCACCCTACAAGGCATCCTACAAGGAAATTGGAAACATACCTGCTTTACGCCCAGACTGCATCATCATGCGACGACGCACAGTGTCAAATGGATAGGAGGTCAACCCAGCAACAGCAGTAACTGTCTGAGCAATCATCCAGCTGATGAAAATATGGGTGTTCTTTGGGTCAGGAAGCATTCCTACAGGAGGGAAGGGGGTACGGTTCAAGTTAGGAAGACCAAAAATCAGCACAATGATACTAGCCAGCTACTTAGTTTTTCTAGGCTATTTTCACAGTGGGGAAGGACTCCTATTTGGCCTCTGAGCTACCTTACATTGAGACAAAGAACTTACCCTTAGCAGTGTCGTAGACGCCAAAATAGGCAGCTCTGTAGATGATGATACCCTGCACAGACACATTAAAGCCTTGATAAAGGCCCCGCAGCCCATCAGACTTGAAGATCTTCACCAGGCAGTCACCAAGACCTCTGAATTCTCTTTCAGCTCCAGCTTTACCGACGTCAGCTGCCAGACGGGTTCGGGCAAAATCAAGAGGGTAGACGAAACACAAAGACGTAGCACCGGCCGCGCCACCAGATGCCAGGTTACCAGCAAAGTAACGCCAGAACTGGGTTCTTTTGTCAACACCGCCCAGGAAGATCTGCTTGTATTTGTCTTTGAAAGCAAAGTTGAGGGCCTGAGTTGGGAAGTATCTGATCACATTGGCCAAGTTGCCACGCCAGAAGGACAAGAAGCCCTGCTCTCTGGGGATACGGACAACGCAGTCAATGATGCCCTTGTACTGCTTCTCTACCGTGATCTGCTTGCTTGCATGCTGCACCTGTGGGACATTAGGAGAAGCTGGATTAATAATCACTTGCTTCCTTACCAAGGCATCTTTATGCTAGTAAAGAAGACCACAAGAAGCGTCTATAGTTTCCGCTAAGTGGAGTTTGCTTTCACCTGCATTTCACCATTAGCATCCAACTCGGTCCTGAAGTGACCACCTTACTATACAGATGAAACCACTTTACACTAAAAAAAACAAACAACCCAGCAAATCTGTCTTGAAAATGGAGACCTGCCACTTTATTGGTATTTAATAAATGCAAGATGCCAGAGAGGCCCTGGGAACAGGCATCCCAAAGCCTCGCTAGGTTAACACCCAGGCATCTGCACCACGTGAACCCGAACTGAGCCAGAGGACAAAAAACCCAGCAGGGCTCCCTCAGCCGGCGAGGAAGCCAACAGGCCCTCTTCCTGCTCAGCGTGGCTTCCTGTACGCAGCGGCGATTCCTGCACAGCTCCAGCGTGCTGCATCCCCGGCCCGTTGCGACAGCTCGGGGAGCGCCGTCCCCATCCAGGCCTACCACCGCCTCTCTTCGGGCTCAAGGGCAGGAGGCAAGGGCAGCATCTTCCGCTCGGGCTGGCTCCGTGCAGCCCCAGAGCCCAGCGAGGAGGGGCGGGAGCAGGACGGAGCCGGTTTAGAGGAGACCCCCGCCCCGCCAGGCCATGCCCCGTGCCGATGGGAGCGGGGCCAGCTCCTGCATCCCTGCCGGGAAGGTCACGGCTGCCCCGGGCTCAGGGACAGCGCCGAGCGCCGGGCCGCGCCCTCTCCTTGCCGCGACCTTGGGGCGGGGGATGCCCGGCCTCGCTCCCGCTCACCTGCAGCAGCAGCTTCACCCGCTCGATGGGGGCGACGGCGGGCTTGGAGATGGCGGGGGCCAACCCGCCCGCCCCGGAAGGCCTT